CTACAGTAGCACTTGTGTAGATGCGTGTTAAGGGACATTACATTGTGGAAGGAACAGGAAGTATCTTCAGTATTCACTGACAGGAGAATGGGTAAACAGTGATATATTTTAAAAATGGATTATAACATCTTTGAGAGGTATAAATTTTAGCTATATTCAACAACATAGACAAGTGTTAGAAACTGTACTAATTTTAAAAGCATGAAGTGTCTACAGGGGCCAGTGCTGTGGCATAGCAGGTAAACACCGCCTCCAGTGTTGGCATCCCATATGGGTGCTGGTTTGAGCCCTGGCTGCTCCACTTCTAATGCAGCTCTCTGCTATGGCCTGGGAAAGCAGTAGAAGATGGCCCAAGTCCTTGGGCCCCTGCATCCACATGGGAGACCTGGAAGAAGCTCCTGGCTCCTGGTTTTGGATTGGTGCAGCTCCAGCTGTTGCGGCCAACTGGGGAGTGAACCAGAAGATGGAAGACCTCTCTCTGCCTCTCCTTCTCTCTCTGTGTAACTCTTTCAAATAAATATATATTTTTTTTAAAAAGTGACTATGTACAGTATGATACCTATTTTCTAGGGTTAAAAACAAGAAACACTATATAATACAGTAAGTGGATGTGTACATGAATTAAAACTAAAGAATGGGAAAGTATCTCATAATTAGTAAAAAAAAAAAAAGGAACTAATTGGGTATGAACTAACAAAACATAAGTAGACTCTGTATAGTGAAAAACTGATCTACAGATTCAGTGCAAACCAATCAAAATCCCAAAAAGGCTTTTTACAGATGTGAACATGCTGACTCTAAAATTTACATGGGAAAGCAGTTTTAAAAAGGAATGGATATTTAACCTGGTGGTTCAGATGGCAGTCAGGGTGCCCATGTGCCATAGTTGAGCGTCTTGGTTCACTGCCCACGTCCAGCTCCTGACTGTAGAGCTTCCTGCTAATGCAGACCCTGAGAGACAGTGGTGATAGTTCAAGTGGCTGGATTGTTGCCACACTAGGGGAAAATCTTGAATGAGTTTCCAGCTCCTGGCTTTGGGCATTGTGGGCATTTGGGGAAGTGGGTGGCAGCCCTGTCTGCATCTCAAATAAATAAAATGAAAAAAGGATTGTAATATAAAGTTGAAATCAACATATGAAAATGACAAAGGCAGGGTGTACAAAGCTGTAAAGCAGAAGAGTGGCTTTTTATGTTGTTAAATTGGTGTCAAAGTAGATTCTTACAGTGTTATGATGTGAGGTATAATACCCACAATAATCATAAGAAAACATCTACAGAATATACATACAAGGACTGAGAAGGGAATCAAAGTATGTCACACACACCAAAAAATCCAACTGACTACAGAGGAAGGGAGTAGTGGAGGGCATGAGAAGCCAAGAGCTGTAAGACATACAGAAAAATAAAATATCAAAAGCAAGTCTTCACTATCACTTCTCTAAATGTAAATGGATTAAACGCTTCAGTCAAAAGGCTTTTTAGATTTCCATGATATGGATTAAACTTGAAGGCATTATGCAAAATGAAATGAGCCAGACACCAACGGACAAATACTGTATAGCTCCACTTATATGAGGTATCTAGAAAAGTCAAATTCTTAGAATAGTGATTACTAGGGGCTAAGGAGAGGGGAGAATGAGAAGTTAACTATTTAATGGGTACAGAGTTTCAGGTAGGGTGACAAAAATTCTGGAGATGAGTAGTAGTGATGATTGCATGACGGTGGGACTGTACTTACTGCCATTAAATTGGATATTTAAAATGATAAAAAAATAAATTTATTTTATGAATATTTCACCATAGTAAAAAGTGTCAGTGTGAGGAAGAGAGAAAGAGTGAATGCTATACTCCCATCTGCTTCTTCACTTTCCAAATGCTTGCAATGCCCAGGAGCCATTACTCAATCTAGGTCTCATATGGTGACAGGAACCCAACTACTTGAGTTACTTTGGTTTTCTCATCTGTGAAATGGGGATAAAAAAGCAGCTATTTAACTGAGTTGTTTCAAGGATTGAGTTTATACATATAAAATGCGTGGTACAGTTCTTATGTATTAAGGGAGTCCTCCCTTGTTCCAAGACTTCTCAGTGAATGCCTAAAACTGCAGATAGTACTAAATCCAAACTGCAGATAGTACTAAATCCTACATAAAAGATACTATGTTTCTTCCTCAAAATACACACCTATGATAAAAGTGTACTTTATAAATTAAGTACAATAAAATTAGTAACAACAATAAAATAGAATATAACACTATGACTGTAGTTATGTGAGGGTGGTCTCAAAATATTTCACTACCCTCACCTTTCACAAGTAACAAACACAGAAAGAGGAATCATAGGGAAGGGGGACTGATCTATTCAATATCAAAGAGAATAATTACTAATGTTATTATCAGGTAACTTAAAATTCTGTGGCTTACACAACACACACAAATTAGGAAAAAGGCAACCTATACTACAGTCTGTAACTGTATGTAGTGACCGTTTATGAACTAGTTTCCCTTACCATAAAGATGTAAATGGAAGGTGACATTTTTTTTTCGTGGTCAAAATGATTGGCACATGTGCAAGACCAATCAGAATCCTTCTAGACATTTTCTAATTTGAGCTGGGGTAGTGTTCTCTGATTTGTTTGTGTTATGTAAGCCACAGGCTTGAGGTTCAGAGTCTGCTGGGTGACAGAACAAAACAAGACCGACACCAATGCTCATCCTCATGAACTTCAGGGACAGAGGAAAACATCTTGAGGGAAGGGGAGAGCTGAGTGTTCACTTTTGGGTGGGACCCCTTTTCCAATCAAAGAACACTAATTAGCAACTCTGCGTAGCAGGAAGGAGGCTGGGATAATGTCTTCATACCTTGACACTCTGTTCCTCTAGTGTGAAGGAGAAATACAGTTTCAGCCGGGTGATTTAATTCCCCTCTTGACTAGAAAATTACGTGTGGTTTTACTCTAGCGAAAGGGTGGTGAAAATCAAGAATTAGGAAGATATTGTACAGTAGGAAAAATGGACCCGAGGAGTGTAGTAAAAACCAGGATAATGATGCCTATAAATTTAGAAAACTTGTTCCATGCATATTAATCTGATCACACTTTGTCATTTTCCTTAACCCTTCTGAGTAATCTGCTGTAAGTGTCAGGTGATGGCCTCACTTTCCATGCAAAACATTTACACTTATGTCTTCACCATCCTCTTATTCTTGTAGCCATTGTTGTAGGATCTGGCTTTTAGCACAGACATGACAGATTGGATGAATTGTCTTTAGGATTCCTTCCAAAATCAAGGGCCAAAACCAAGCCTATGAACTTGGAATCATAGTTTTCAAGATGGTCGGTAGGATGTGTTTTGGAAATTCTCAACCCATGTTCTTATACTGATCTGAGTCCCACTCGGGCACTGCCCACAACTGTAAGTATTCTGTAGGGGCCCCCATGCATCCTCAGGATTTTACTACTGTTTTTTAAAAAATGATTTATTTGAAAGGCAGAGTGATTGTATGGGGAGGGGGGAGAGAGAGAGGAGAGAGAGAGAGAGAGAGAGAGAGAGACAGATACAGATATCTTCCACCTTCTGGTTCACTCCCCAAAAGACTGCAGGTAGAAGCCAGGAAGTCCATCTGGGTCTCCCACATGGGTGGCACTGACCCAAGTACTTTGGTCATCTTTGCTGCTTTCCCAGGTGCATTAGCAGGAAGCTGGGTTGGAAGCTGAGCAGCTGAGACTCGAATCAGCACTCTGATGCTTGTGTTGCAAATTGCAGCTTAACCCACTGTGCCACAACACTGGCCCAGGATTATATGATTATATGAAATCCAGGCATTAAGTTAAACAGTTAAACATGTGTTGACTTGTGCCTTCTGATATCTAAGGAAATGCAACGGAAGGCATTCAGGAAGGCATTCAAGTCAGAATCTCACTGCCAAGATGACTTAGGGAGATAGAACCTTATCCTAGACTTCTCTGTAGGCCAGGATGGAGTCTATGAAATCACTCATATCCTGCTGAACCTGATCAATGCTGCAAACCAAGTGGAAAGGGCAGTATAAAAATGTAAGGAGAAAGCCATTTGACTTGTTTACAAGGTAGATCCAGATGGTTCCTAGAATTTGTTCAGTTGGGTGGATTTTACATCCTGGTCACACATTATAGGTTACCTTTATCCTGCTGCTTAGAATTCTGTTGACAGTAGCCTTAAAAATTGCATGAGAGAAATTAATTTGGTCTCAATCTCAGATAAATCATAATGGCTGATGGAAGGCATACTCATGGGAGAAATTTTCCAGAGGGCAAGAGGGTGTAGAAATGAGAGGTGGATATTGTCAGGTCACAATTCTTCATGAGTTTCTTGCATTTCTGTATTAACTGTAAGCAGAATCATTCACTGGCTTTTTATTCCAGACCATTTTTGCGAGCTTGACTACAGAGGAAATGGCCTTTAAAAGACAATATCTCCCTCTGAGCCAGAGGGAAGATTTACTTAATGTTCAGTATCCCAGGTATAAGAATGTTTTCTTCCAGAGCAGAGGTCAGGCAGGTTTGTTTACTGACCATTTTTAAAGATTTGGGTTCTGTAAGCTCCGGATTTCTCTCATACAGCAAGCATGATTTGGTTCTCTGTGCTACCCTGTGAGAATTAGGGACTGTTGGGTACTGGCACAATTTATGTTTTTCTGTTACAACTGTGGTAATTAATAGAGTCCTCTGACTTTGACCCGGGATTGTCCATGTCTTTTGCCACCATCCAGCAAACTGTGGCAAGCTAATTTGTTAATTCAGAAGAAAGGTAAAATATCAAATCCTTTTGTAGTTCTTGATCACTTACTTTAATTTCCCCAAATTACAAACTTTCTGCTTTGGAAGTTCAGTGTTTGTGTGTATACAGAGACAGCAGGAGAAAGCAAGAGCACAAGAGAGAGTGAGAGGGAAAATAGTGCCTCTCTGTATGCAGTTGCAAGCAGAGTCTAAGAAACACATAAGGGTCACTGGTTGGAAGTATATGTCATAGCAGATTTATTTGATCATCATTTTCCCTTCTATCAATATCAGCAAAAGTCAGGAAGATTTCTTCTAGTGTTATCTGACTGACGGAATAATCTTCTAAATTGAATAGCACTGTAGCTTCCTCCAAAATACTAAACACCTTTAACAGAAAAAGAAATCATGGAGTTACCATTGCAATATTCCCATAGGAAACTTCCCTCCACCCCTTCATTCTAGGTTTATGCTTAGGGATCAAAAAAAAAAAAAAAAATCCAGAGGGGAAATTAAGAAAGAAGGAAAAGATGTTGAAAATCAAAACAGGAGACAGTTCTACATCTCCATTTTCTTGATAGGCATGGACTAATAATAGAATAATAGAATTTAGGTTCAGAAATCTCAATCAATTAAATTGCCCGGAGCAGCCTATGAATAGTAATTTCAAATGTCTGCTCCACTGCTAGTGGGGATCCCATTCCATATACTTGAATCCAGATGCTTCCTAGTAGTCCTCTAATAATACATCATGTGAGAATCATATTTCTACAATCACCTTTCCCCAGCGAATTTCCTTGCTGGGAATGTGGCAGATAATAGTCCCTTGATACTCCTGGTTTATGATGTTACCTAACAAAGGAAAGATTTTGACAGGTGAGTAATGAAGAGAGGACCAATATTTTGATAGTGTTAAAAAAATCCCCAACTAATCCCATTTCAATTATCCAAACCAATGGAAGACAAAATATAACCAGTAGGCAGTTAATACAAATGATGACAATCTCATAGCTTATAATCTTTAGGATACAAGGTCTTGTTAAATATTTCTCTAGATTTACTTCCTTGTACCTATCACTTGTAAAAATTGCAGAGGCTGGGTTAATCACTTTTAGGCATGGAAAAATTGAGAGCACACATGGTCACTTTGAAAAACCCAAGACTTATATGAATCCTAATGTTCTATAGGACTCTGCTTAAGCAGTTCTGAAACTAAGTTTATAAAATTTGCTTATGGTTTCTTCTTCCAGGTGTGTGTATAGGATAGGATGTTTCTACTATTCTCATGACTAGACATACTTCATCCTAAAGAAGAGAAAATTCATGTATGTAAAAAATATATATGAAGCACTGACTGGAGAAATTAGGTACCACAGCTTCAGAAAAATAAGGTAGTAACATTGTAGCCATTCCTAATTATGATTTACTATTATTATTATTTAATAGGGGTTAAATAATTTAAATAAATAAGCTGTTTGTCAATGTTAAGAATAATTCTTCTGTAGTAAGTCCATACATTGCCTCCCAGGAGTTATGGAAAACATTTTAGCATGTTATATATGCATATAGCTTAGTGAATCTCAATGAAGTTAACAAATGCAACTAACACCCAGCACTCTAGAAGTCATCTACCTGCCATTACCTAAAGCACTTTCTCTTCCTTAAACACAACTGCTCTCCTGATCTTTATGCTAACATTTCTCTGCTCTTCGTCATGGTATTAATGCCTAAGTATTGCAGCTCAAGTACTAGTTTGGTTTTTATTTCTCTGTAGTTTACATGAATGAAATCATACGACATACATTCTTTTTTATCTAGTTTTTCTCACTCAGCTGTGTTGTTACATATAGCTATACTTCATTTTTTCATTACATCATGTTTCCAGTGAATGACTACATTTCTACTATTTGTGGATATATATGGTATGGTATCCAGTCTCCCGGATGGCTCCAGTGACCCCTGCCTTCTAGTAGTCACAGCACTGTGGAGTAATCTTCCCCACAATGCAAAGGGCTGACTTAAGTAAACATTATGTTATTGTAGAAGTAAGAGAGTGTGAGTTTTGAGTCTATTACATAAATGACATCTTGCTCTTTTTAGGATCATTTAATGTAAGGGAAGCCAGCTACCATGTTGAGAGGATACACAAGCATCCCCATGGACAGGTCCATGTGGTAAAGTACTCTCAGCAGCTGTATTACTGAATTATTTTGTAAGCAGATTTTCCAGCCTCCAGTGAGCCTTCAAATGGTTGAAATCTCATGACCTTAAGCAAGGACCATTCAGCTATATGCTACAGAAACTATGAGATAATAAGTATTTACTGTTGTTTTAGGCCATTTATTTATTTATTTTTTGGTTATTCCTTATGTGGCAATAGATGGCTAATACAGATTCCATTTTGGAGCTATTATACTAAATTTTGTTTCAATCATTTTCTACCTACTTCTTTGTACTTATGTTCAATTATTTTCCTAGGAGTAGAATTTTTAGGGCAGAGATTTAAGTCTTTTCCAATTAGATATTGCCCCCAAATTTCAAATATTTTATATTCCAAGCAGCTCTATATGAGTGTCCTATTTATCTACATCTATACTAATTCTTAGAAAAAAGTCAATATTCTAAATTTTAGCCATTCTGATGGATGTGCAGTTGTGTCCAAGATGACTAATGATATTGAGTTTTAATTTGCATTTCCTAGATGACTAATGATATTGAGCACTCTTTTTATATATTTTACTTGGTGTCTGATTAATTTTTAATAATGAAAATGGCTCCCTCCAAAATCCATCAATTTCTAGGCTGTTAGGAATATAAAAACTATGTTTTCTCTTCCCTTGGATATGTTCAGCACAACTTCTGATTATGCTTGATTCTTGTTGCTGTCAGTGTTTCAGGCTACTGCTTGTATTCTGATGTTCTTGGGGGAAACTGTCTCTTATTTTTATGATGATGTTGTCCATTGGTTTTCATTATTGCTGTTCTATTCTTTTTTAGTGAGATTAGAAAGATTCAAAAGAGTCAAAACGAGGCTTCCATAAACATTTGCCATACTCTAATCATTTGGTTTCAATTTCAAGGACTGTAATTTTTCATCTCTGAAGGCTTTATTTGTTTTCAAATATGCTTTGGTCATTTACCAAGAAAAGTGTTCAGTGAATTATCATCCACATATAGCAAAGTATAGAAATAATTTAAGTATGAAGCCCAGAGAATTTTCTGAAAGTAAACCAATATAACTTTATACAAATACAGTTGTGCAATTACTACTCTGTGGCATTTTTCTCTCTCAATACTATGTTGGAGCTGCTTGTTGTATAGCTGCAGGTGTATCTGGAACATGAACCGGCACCTTTGTGGGGTGCCAGAATTGCAGGTGGTGGCTTTACCCACTATGCCACAACACTGGGCCCAAATTAATTTCTGACTTATGATTTTTTTGGCTTATTATGGGATTATCAGGTTACAACCCAATTTTAAGTCAAGGAGCATCAATTTCATTTTTGTGGGAGTTAATGTAAATAGTATTGTGTTTTTAAATTTAAATTCCATTTGTTCATTGCTGTATACAGGAGAGCAATAGACATTAGTGTATTAACTTGGTCTCCTCTACCCTTGCAATAAGCACTTATTAGTTCCAGGAGTTTTTGTCAATTCTTCCAAATAGTCTACATAGATAATCATGTCCTCTGTAAATAAAGATAGTTTAATTTCTTCTTTCCCAATTATGTATAGATTTAATTTTTTATCTTTAGCTTATTCTACAGCTGAGATTTGATGTAAGTAAGGGTGAGAGAGTACATTCTGGCCTTTTCCTTATCTTAACAAGAAAACAATTTCTCACTATTAAGTGTCATGTTAGTTGTTTTCTGATATGTTTTTTGTAAGTTGAGGAAGTTTCCCTCCATTCTTAGTTTACCCAGAGTTTTTATCATGAAGTCATGTTGGATTTTGTCAAATGCTTTTTTTATCTACTGATATAATTGTATGGTTTTTCTTTAACCTGTTCCTGTGATGCAGTCCATTAATTGAGTTTTAAATGCTGAACCAGACTTTCACACCCTGACTAAATCTCATTTGGTTGTTGTATAATTATTCTGTATACATTACTGGATTCAATTTGTTAATTTTTTATGGATTTTTGCACCTCTTCAGAGAGATATTAGTCTATGGTTTTTCATAAAAGCATATTACTAGTCTTATAGAATATTGGGCCATATTCCCTCTGTTTGTATGTTCTGGAGACACTATAAAGAACTGGTACAATTTCTTCCTTAAATGTTTGGTAGAATTCACCAGTGATCCCAGTGGGGCCTGGTGCTTTCTGTCTGGGCAAATTGTAAGTTATTTATTTCAATTTCTTTAATAAATATAGAACTATTCAGAGTGTCTTTTATTTATGAGTTTTGGCAGATTTTACATTTTAAGAAATTGGTCTAATTCATGTAGTTATCAAATTAGTGGGCACAGAGTTTTCCTAGCATTCTTTGATTATGTTTTTAATCTTCAGTGGATCCATAGTGAGGTCCATTCTTTTTTTCTGATATTAGTAATTTGCAACTTCTTTTTGTTCTCAGCCTGTCTAGAGGCTTATCAATTTTATTTATATTTTTAAGAACCAACTTTGGTTTCATTAATGATCTCTATTGATTTCCTGTTTTTAATTTCATTGATTTCTGCTCTAGTTTTTATTAATTTCCTTCTCATTACTCTGGATTTAATTTGCTATTTGTTTTCCAGTTTCTTAATATAGAAGCTTAAATGAATGATTTTAGATATTTCTTTCTTTCTTTTTTAAAATTTTTTTTGGCAGGCAGAGAGAAAGGTCTTCCTTCCGTTGGTTCACCCCCCAAATGGCTGCTATGGCCGGTGTGCTACACCGATCCGCAGCCAGGAGCCAGATGCTTCCTCCTGGTCTCCCATGCAGGTGCAGGAGCCCAAGCACTTGGGCCATCTTCCACTGCCTTCCCAGGCCACAGCAGAGAGCTGGACTGGAAGAGGAGCAACCGGGATAGAATCCCGCGCCCCAACCGGGACTAAAACCTGGAGTGCCGGCTCCGCAGTCAGAGGATTAGCCAAGTGAGCCTCGGCGCCGGCCATAGATATTTCTTCATTTCTAATGTATGCACTAAATGCTATAAATTCTCTTCTAAACTCTTTCATGCACCAAATTTAGATATTTTGTTTTCATTTTCACTTAGTTCAAAGTACTTAAAATTACTCTTGAGGTTTCTTTTGTGACTCATATTATTTATGTTGTTTAATATCCAAATAATTTGAGATAATTCAGTTGTTCTTATGACACTGATTTCTAGTTTAAATCCATCGTATTCTGATGGCAAACATTCTATTTATATTCTTTTAAATTTGTTTTAATGTGTTTTATGGCTTACAGTGTAGTCCATTTTGGGAAGTGTGCCATGTGAACTGGAGAGGAATGTCTAATTCTGCTCTTGTTGAAGAATATGTCCAATAGGTCCAATATTAATGTTTTGATTTTCTGTATGATGGATCTATCCATTTCTGATAGAGGGATATTGAGTCTCCAACTATATCAATGGATTCATCAATTTCTCTGCAGTTCCATCAGGGTTTTTTTTTTTAAGATTTATTTATTTATGTGAAAGGTAGTGAAAGAGAGAGAGGGAAAAAAAAGAGAGAAAGAGAGAGAGAGACAGAGAGAGAGAGAGGTCTTCTGTCTGCTGGCTCATTCCCCAAATGGCCCCACTAGCCAGAGCTGGGCTAATTGGAAGCCAGGAGCTGGAGCTTCTTCCAGGTCTCCCATAAGGGTGCAGGGGCCCAAGAACTTGGGCCATCCTCTACTGCTTTCCCAGGCCCTAGAAGAGAGTTCC